CACGCTCGTTCCTGGCCTTCGCGGGCCTCACTCCCAGGTGCGTGGGGCTCTGTCGAGCACCCGGGATCCCCGCCACTGCGGGGTGCCCTGAGCCAGGTCTCGGACATTACTGACCCACGGGGCCCCTTGCTCGCCCCTCGCACCCGGAGCCTGACGCCGGTCCGTGACGCTTCCGTGGACACCTCCACCTTAATGAAGAAACCCTCCCGTTTCCTGGACAGTTTCCTGGTGCCCTCGCTCACCAGGCTCTCTTTCGGGAAGATGGATTTGCACTTGTTTGCACCTGCGGTGCCTCTCTCTCCGTAGCTGTCAGCAGCCCTGTGTCCCCCGCGGGACAATGCCTGCACCCCGCCGAGGGCCGTGTCTTTTTCTGGAGGCTGGGACGCACCTGTCCTCTGAGTCCCGGCCAGCGGCAGAGTAGGGACCACAGTGTAGGGAGGCGAGTGAGCCCAGATAGTACTGACAGCCTCAGAGGGCCTGCCACAGCCGCTGGCAGAACCTTCTTCCTTCAGGGGCAGTCAATCCAAAGATGGAGAGGTTCTTCCTACTCGTGTTTTTTACATTAGAAACAATACAGAATCCATTTTTAAAAATTTAAGTGATGACAAGTTTATGTTTCTTATCTCTTGTAATAACATAAATGCCCAGTCTTGTCGATTTAGGAGTAAAGTGGGGGCATGGGGGTGGGCAGGAGATTGAGAGACCAGGATTATCTCATTCTCCCATAGCCAATGGGACAGCCTCTTTGGGTTTAGGTTTCTCATTGTTTAAAGAAGGAGATTGGCCCTGGCCGGTTGTGCTCAGTGGATAGAGCGTCGGCCTGTGGACTCAAGGGTCCCAGGTTCGATTCCGGTCAAGGGCATGTACCTTGGTTGTGGGCACATCCCCAGTAGGAAGTGTGCAGGAGGCAGCTGATCGATGTTTCTAACTCTCTATCCCTCTCCCTTCCTCTCTGTAAAAAATCAATAAAATATATTTTTTTTAAAAAGGAGATTGGACCAGATGGTGAGGATAATAGCTACCTACCATTTATTGGATATGTTGGTGAGGATGACAGTAGCTTCCATTTATTGAACATATCCATTTAGAAGTGTTATTTAATGCACACAGTAATTCTGCGCAGTGGTTCATATTACCCCTTTTCTAAAGAAGAAACTGAGGCTCAGAGAGGTTGTCACTTACACACAGACAGCTTATAAATAGCAAAGCAGGAATTTGAGGATATGCTGGATTCCCTCAAGATATCAAGTCCTTTGATTCTATCTCAAATTTGTTCTAATTTAAATTATTTTAAGGTGTTCTGCCTCAGACTTTGAGTTATTTTCTCAAATTAGAAGATAGTGTGGTATGTGAAGCTAAAATAACAAGTATATTTATATCTGATTAAAATATTTCATCCATTTTATAATTCCCTAAGTCTTTTATAAGAAAGGGTTTGATTATTGCTAAGGTTCCTTCTCACTAACATTCTAGGATTATGATAATTTTCTTTTGCTATATCTTCTATTGAGATGCTTATTTCAAACCTGAATATCTGAAGATTAAATTTTCCCCCAAAGTAACTCATGTTCTTATATCATGGTCTAATTGTCATGCATGATATAATGTAGATAGGCCAATTTTATGCCAGTGAATGATTTAATGTCTGTTGCCAAATACATTATGGATCATCCCTCTAAGCAAGAATTTTACTGAAGGAGGGAACATCATTCAGAAAAGACCAGTCCTGACTCTATCTCAGATCATCTTGTACATCCTCGAAAATTGTGCATTTAGTCAATGGGGGCACCATTCCCACTAGTACTTTGAGGTGTGATTGTCCCTCATGAAGCCGTGCAGAGAGGCAGTCCTTTATCTGCTTCCTTTCCCCATCATTGCATAATTCCTTCACAAGAAGAGAAAAAAGTACAGAACTCTTTACCAGAGAGGGACATAGGAAGTAAATGCAACTTAGTTTAGATCTTCTTTGTAGGTAGATATGAAAATTTGTTGTGAATACGCGAAACGCAGTTTATTATTGTATTATTATTTATTAATTATTGTAGACCTACTTTTGCGCCCCCCCCCCAAGAGTGCAGTAGGTAATCCCTAAATTTGTAAATGTCCTTTCAGTAAACATCTGCAGTGGTTTCCAGCCCAGGTATTCTTTGTTATTTTTGATAGAGTTTAACATATACAGTGCATTATTAAGGTGACTGTGGCTGTCTGGGAGTTGCAGTATGTTTACTACCTTGCTGAGTTATTTCTTTGATTCATTACAAAGGAAATGTAGGTTTGCTAAGGAAAAGAGGAGACCAATGAATTTTACAATTAAAATTAAGTCATTACAATTCATGTTAGAACACTCTGAATGCACAGTTTTTACAGACATCTGATATAAGTTGAGTTTCATGACATTCAACACCACTACATCCCTTTAATTTTAAAATAGTGAAATGTTTGTTGGCTGTAACTACTCTTCTCTCGCTCTCTCTCTCTTGCTCTCTCTCTCTCCACACACGGTATGCATATTGTTTATATATACATAACTATATATATGAATATATATATATTTTTGGACTTGAGGTTAGGAGTGAGTTAATTATCCTCAATTCTTGACACATTATCATCAACAGAAAGTGTATGATAACTGTGCTCTCTACACCCACCTCCCCCATTACCTTGTTTTTCTTTCCGGTAAACAATTTAAAACCAGGTAGCTTTGTTTTCATTATACACAGCTAGTTCTCAGCAATTAAAGGAAAATGCTGCTTTTGTCAGTTTCTGCTGAGCGTGACTTTTACCTTGGTATATTTGCTATTTTAGGCCTTGTTAGTGTTTTTACGTAATGCCCACTTTCAATTAGTGATGTACTCTGAGACTGCGATTCAGTCCCAACTACGTGGCTATCATGTTAACTGTTTCTTGCTTTACATTTCTAATAGGCAGGGTCTATTTACAGACTGTAATACTGCTTCCACTTTAATGATTGCTTCTTTCTGAATTTTCTCTTCCCACATTGCATTCAAACGCATTATTAGCATAAGTAGAAATATCACTGGCACCTAGCCTAAGCCACCAGTTGACCAACATTTTGACTTAAATTCGAAGTACATTTGTACATGCCATTTATCCTACTCCCATGGAGAAGAGGGAAAGGTGACATGCCCGCAGATTTTATAGAAGAAAATGAAAGCAATAGAAGCAGTACATGGTTGCCACAAGAAAGGAGAAGTAACAAAGGAATTTAGCATCACTCCTTCTACATTTTTGAAATATTGAGCCAAAACTGAATTGGAAGTTAAAGGGATTCTGGGACTAGAGCAGAATTGAATTTGAAGTCCCTTTTATAGCTGTTTTTGCATGTTATTGAGAGGTTTATACAAGAATTGGGCATGTAAGTTGACCATTTATTCAGCAGAAAGCATTGGATTTTTTGCCAACCTTGGGCATGATGAGTTTCAAGCAACTGTGTGCCGGCTGAAGAAATTGTAGGCATGTTAGAGAGTTGTTTAAGAAGTTGTCTGTAGTGAAAAGAAAACTGTTCCAGTAGAGAAAATTAGTAACTCACATGCAGAAGGAATTTAAAAAGCAATTACTAGTTACAGCTTGAGTAATGTTTTAAATGCTGATGAAATTTACGAGTTGTTACCTCATATACTTCATGCCCTAGTAGGTGGACTTTGCAAAAGGAGGTAAACAGATTGATTGCTCTGTTCTTCTGTAATGCATCCTACACCGAAAAGATGAGACCACTTGTCATTGGCAAGTCAGTTAACCCTGAGGGCTTCAGAAATGCTCACTTACTCCCCTGTGATTACCAAGCTAATATGCTACTCTAAATTTTTAATGAATGGCTGAGGAAGGTTGGCAAGAGAATGAAAGGAGCAAAATGCAACATCCTCTTGCTGGTAAGTAGTTGCTCTGCCCACAACATTCTCCTTTGCTTGGCTCATGCATGTGTTGAGTTTTCCCACTGAATTGTGCAGCCATCTGATTAGGTTATAATTTGTACGGTGAGAGCTCACTGCAGAAACAACTGTAGATTTAAATGATGAAGGGAAAACAAAAAATAAATGAAGCAAGCCATTGGCATGGTTGCTGAGACCTGGTGGTCGGTAGAGCCATCCACAGTAGTGAAATGTTTGCAGAAAACAGGCATGACTCCTGTGGAATCCCCCAAGGTTAAATTGGAAGGAGACCAAAAACCAAATGTGGTATTTGAACTAGTCTGGTACTCAATTGCTAGTCACTGGTCTCCCAAATCAGTTTGATTTTGAAGACCATGGCTGCAGATATCAATTTAACTATTTCCAAAGACTTAGCAAATCCTGCCGTTGCTGCAGGAGTGCTAACTAATGTCAAAATGGAACCAGAAAGTGATGATGGGAGTACGATGACGACAGTGATAACCATAACATCTAAGGGGAACACGTGATGGAACCGCCTACAGTGAATGTTTCAGAAGTCCTTGCAAGTGTAGAAAGTGTTGACTATCCTAATCCTTTCCCTTAAAGCGGATGTTCCTGATGAGGTGTTTACCCAATTAAGTGGGATAGATCAATATTTAGTGACTACTGCAACAAAGATGTTTGAAAAAACTGAACTGCTATAACTAATAAAGTTGCAAAAATATTGTTTTTATCCTATATAATAAAAAGCTAATACACAAATTGTCCCCTCTACCAGGAACTCGACCGGGAGCTGGACCAGGGGGCAGGGCCAGCCAGCCAACTGCCCGCAGCCCCTCCCCCTGGCTGGCCCGCCCCTGATCAGCCCCTCCCACCCCGATTGGGGGCAGGGCCAGCCAACCTCCCACGTCC